AGAGAGGCCGGCTGAGGCGGGAGGATACTTCACTGCTCAAGGCCGATGAAGACCAATAACAGGTAAGAAACCATCCAGCTCCTTGGAAGACAATGAGGTACACCCCTTTCCTCCTAAGTATAACCCTTTTGGGGCTTTAATACCATAAAACTCCACTCTGGCTCGGGAAAGCAGCAGGCTCGCACTGTCCCCTGCCTGACAGTGACCTCCTGGAGGAAGGGGTGCATTGCTGGCTTTCACAGGTAAAGAGCAGCTGAGTTGTCCACCTGAATCCATGACAACACTCAGGTCGGTCCAAGTGAAAAGAATTTTAGAGCCAGAGGGAGTGGAGAGAAGGAACTCAGTAGGGAGTTAATAAAAGAACGGGTCAGTGAATGGCAGGTAATCTGGATGTTTCTATGTGCCAGACAGTGTTGGAAAATCCAGGCGGTTTCACCAGGGGAGGTTGATTTGGAATCCGGGAGCCAGAGCAGGGAAGTGGAAGATCTTAATTCCAGGGTCAACCTGGAGCACCTGGTTCCACCTACAGGGCCCACCACCCTCAGGGGCGGGGGCGGGGTGGGGAGGGAGACACTCATTTATGGGAGCTGGAAGGTTTCACATTATAGAGTACTAGCTACACGCTCTTTGGTTCATTCTTTTGTATCTGCACGTCCCGCTATGGGGATATTTCAGAAGCACGGCTGCGAAACTCCGCCGTTTCTCATCAGCCACACCCCGTACGGCCCAAGGCTGCAGATCTCCCCATGGGTGTGTGAGGCGCCCGGGGCTCAGCAGCTGCACTCATTTCGCTGACATCCTGAAAGTCAGCTAATTTCTTTGTATGGTGATACTTACTTATTTCCCTTTGAACCGGATCCTTACTTGGCTTCCAAATTCAGGGGGTGTGTCTTGTGTGGGACCTGTGGATGCCTGGGCACTGCTGTGAGCAGCACAGGCTCCAACAGGCCTCTCTGTGCAAACCCAGGCCCCATGCCTGGGAAAGCTGCTTCAGCTGAGCAGTCGTCTCCAGGTGTGTGGAATGGAGGTGACTGCCTGCTCCAGGGTGGTGAGGAGTAAGATGATATACACGGGAAGCCCAGCACCGAACACTTGGTACGTGCTCAATATAATTAGCTACTGCCATTACAGCTTCATCAAAATACACGTGCTATGTTCCAAGAACAAAGCTCGTATGGATATAAATATTATGGCATGTTTATGAAGATATTATTTTATAGTTATATGTCATTTTGGTTTAAGCATTGACACTAGAAGATACATAAGGCCATGTCCACTACAGTAGTCCATTATAGTGTCTACAGTGTCAGTGTCGTCGCACCCCCTCTTACATGCAACTCTCACTTGTGCTGTGATGAACCCTCAGGAGAGGTTGTTAGGGGCAGGACTGCATCCCTGGGGAGGGCCCGACAGTGCGGGGTGTTTCTGGTTGTCACATGGCAGGGGATCGCTACTTTCACCTTGGAGGGATGGGTGCTCCATGTCCAGGGGCCCACAGAGAACGGCGCTGTCCAAGACACCACATGCCCCGCTGAGGAGCTGTGCGCGGCCTCTCTCAGGTGGAAGCGGGCAGCTCTCTGGTCTGCCATGTGCTGCCTGGTTCTTTCCCTTCACTTTTCTGGTTGCACATTGTTACCACTCAGCCTAATGTGAGGGTTTTCAAGTGGAGAGTCAGGCAGGAGCCCACAGACAGAGCCACCCGCCGCCCGCCTTCCCGGCTCACGGACAGAACCACCCGCCGCTCCGCCCTCCCGGCGATCTGGGACATGGCCCGTTGCTGAGAAGGGGGATGCTGGGCAATGCATCCGGGTCCGGGTCGGAGAGGAAGGGGTGGCTGCCCTACCTCAGCATGGTCTGTTCCCATTTTCTCCTTGTGGCCCGATTTTGTTCTTTCCTCTCTTTTCTCCAGTATTGCATTATTCACGTGTACCCAGGGTCCTGAGTAACTGAGCCACTAGAAGGAACCATATCTCAGAAACAGCCCACTAGGGACTGGCTTCAGAGCGAGATAAGGGAGGAGGCAAGTGGGATAAGAACACCATTCAGCTCTCTCCTTTAAGGTTGCAGCGGCGGAAATGGAAACCCAGAGTCCAGATTTCATTACAAACAGGGCCTCAAGTTGCTTTAAACAATGGGACTTCATAGAAGGTTTTAAGGCTTATACTATTTATACTGCATGCACAGTAAATGGAAACCTCCAGTTTTTCCACGTAGATCCATTTCTGATATGCGCTTCAGAGGTGTAGGTCTTACCAGTGATACTCTTATCACAGCCCAACAGAACACTGCTGCTTTAAAGTGTGCTGGAAAAGATTGAGGGCTTGGGTACATTTTGACAAACTTGGTTATTAATGTACTGAATTCCATGATCACAATCACAGCATTGCCATAGAACCATCCCTATTCTATACCCCAAAAGCTTGGTGAAGATGGGGCATGCTGGGAACTAGTGTCTCCATCCAGCAACTCAGTTTCACTCCAAACTCTGGGATCTGCTCCCTCTGAGCAGGGAGAGTTTTCTGTGGCTCTGGCCCAGAGGGCTCCCCTTCTGAGCACGCAGCAGCGCACTGCACAATCCAGGTGCTCTCCAGAGATGGCACTCCCTAGGCCAGCCGTGGGCAAACTATGGCCCGCATATTAGTTCACACAAACACTCCATCCATGCTTTTGTTCCGGCCCTCCGGTCCAGTTTAAGAACCCATTGTGGCCCTCGAGTCAAAAAGTTTGCCCACCCCTGCCCTAGGCACTGAGCCTGCTGCTCCGGGAACTGCTCTCTTAGGTCCCAGGGTTTGTGCTGGGTTCTAACATTATCAGAAAGTACAGTGTCCAAGGCAGCAGTTCTCAAATGGAGTGTCATGGCAACGGGTAATTTGTCACTAATCCGGACGTTCTGAAGACTGGATCCAATAGACTTTTTAGACATTAGAACAGATTCAAGACTACATCTCTAATAATGCCACTCTCCTTCACATTTCAGTTGCTTCTGGAAGGGCCAGGAGTGAACATGGGCTGTGCTGTATATTTACCATGCATGTCCTAGTGGGGAAAACCAATGTGAAAACTTTCAGTCTAATATGTGGTATGCTGAGAAATTACTTAAGAGCTTCAGGATACAAATAAGCCAGTCGGAGAAAGATAAATACCATATGATATTACTTATCTGTGGAATCTAATGAACAAATTAACTGATGAACAAAAGAGAAACAGAGCCATAGGAACAGGGAACAGTCTGACAGAGGCCAGAGGGATGGGGAACTGGATAAAAGAAACTAAAGGAGCCAAGGAACATACATGCAAGCCCATGGACAGACAACAGAGCGGTGAAGGCCAGGGGAAGGCGGCGGGGCTGGGTGGAGGTGGGAAAAGTGGGGGAAATGGTGAACATCTGGAATATGTCAACAACAACAAAAAGCTTCAGGATATGTCCCTGATATAGTTAATTTCATAAATCCTTACATCATTGATTCTAATAAATAGGTAGTTGCTGGGATTAAAAGCTCCAAGTTGTCAAGTGCCTTTGCCATTGACCAGCTTATCTGCAGGTCGGCCTCAGTGCTGGGGTTAGAATGATGAAAGCTTTCTAGGATCAAAGCCTTTGGACATGTCAATAATTACAGCACCAGTGGTAATTTTGAAGACCTTGGAAATTCAGCCTCTTCATAAACTAAAACAGAATAGGACTATAAATGTTACCTTAACAGGAATAATAATGTCGGCCATCTGGGATCACCTACGAGGCAGGCACTGTACCAAGAATCAGGCGATTATGTAGCCTTCACAATTCTATGTGGCAGAAATGAGGACTGTCAGTTTACACGGAGCAACCAGGGACCAGAGAGGTCACCCGGGCATGGTGACATGGTTTACAAGTACAACTGCCTGACTGATGTCCAGAGCTCGCTCTTAACAGTCACTCTGGTTCTGTGACCTGGGAAGACACAGTACCTCTATAGCCTCTACTATGAGCTTCACTAAAAACGACTACCCATGGTGACCGTTTTATATAGGATTGCATGCAGATTATTACCCATGTTCACCAAGAGCCTGTACTCATTCACTCATGGATACAGAGCAGTTAGACTTCTCTACCCGTTTTTGAAGTTAGGTGACCATTTGACCAGTTCTGGCAAATGAAATGCAGTAGAAATGAAATGTCACTTGCGGGATGAAGCATTTAACTACAGGTGTTTGATTCTCCAGGCCTTTCTTCCCTTTCCGTAGCAAGCATGGAAGTCAAGGCAATCTGAGATACTAAGCCAGCTTATGGAGGCCAGCTTCCCTTAGAGTCAGGTAAACCAACAGTGGATTTTATACGAGACAGAAATAAACTTTTAAGCTGCACACTTGGAGATTGTTTTTTAGTGCAGCATAACTCAACATATCCTGACATTAATGATGAAGAGAATTATAAAATAGATACGAGACGTGCTCTGATGCTGTTCAATAGAACATTAACATTAGCTGAAATGTGGCTGGAACAAGGCCTGGACCAAGGAGGGGAGAAACTGTGCAGTTAAGCTTAAAGAAGTTATCTGGAACAAACGAACCCACACCCTACTCACCTTCAGGGTGCTCAGTACATCAATCAGTCCCATTATATGATACTAGAGGCCCGGTGCACGAATTCGTGCACCAGTGAGGTCCCTCGGCCTAGCCTGCAAGATCGGGCCAAAACTGGCTCTTTGACATCCCCCGAGGGGTCCCAGATTGTGAGAGGGCGCAGGACAGACCAAGGGACCCCACCGGTGCACAATCGGAGCTGGGAAGGGATGTGGGAGGTTGGCCAGCTGGGGAGGGGCCTCGGGAGGGCTCTAGGGCGTGTCCAGCCCGTCTCGCTCAGTCCCAATTGGCCAGACTCCAGCAGCAAGCTAACTTACCAGTCAGAGCGTCTGCCCCATGGTGGTCAGTGCACGTCATAGTGAGTGGTTGAGCAGCCTTACCACATCATTAGCATATTATGCTTTGATTGGTTGAATGGCCAACGGGACTCTTAGCATATTAGGCTTTTATTATATAGAACTGCTTCCTAGAGAATCAGAACACTTCTAGATGTTGTCAATGAAATAGTAAGGGAACTCGGATGGTAGAGTCATCTTGGGGGCAGATCACTGTCCTATATCTACATGATTAAATTCAACTAAGGAGAACTGGTTTAGTTTAGAAAGCAGATCCTGGTACTCTTCACTTTTGATTAGGCCTGCTGATATCCATATGGGTCCTAAGATATACCATATTATTTATTTAATATCCAATTGTATTAGGAAAGCTAACATGAATACAAAAAATCTCAACTTCTTATTTTGTAAGTTACAGTACTATCATTTAGGTAAAGGTCAGACAAGCCCCTTTACTTTCTCCTAAATGCTCATGTATCACATGCATAAAGTCTAAAATCTGTAGTAAAGTCTATTGATTTAGGAATAAAAATGAAAAGTGTGACTTTTTGAAAAATACAACCCCTGAAGTACTCACTGAAATGGCCAATTTTTATGACAGTGATTGACAACAGGGCACAATTCAAAAGCAAAAACTTTCCGTTAATGTGAGGACACTGAGCAACAGGGACGACCCTGGAGAGTGTTAGGGCCAGGGCCATGCTGCTGCGAAGACTCAGCCCAATAAGAACAATTTATAACATGCTCCTTGATTTAAGGTGCTAACAGGTCAGGTTCTCAGAGGCAATTCTGAAATGATTTGTCAGGCTTTATTTTTAGTAGCTGCAAAATTTTAGAATGTTTCTCTGCCAAATAAATGACTAATTGTACCACCTCTGACTGTCAAGCCTCTTCTTAAAAGCTTTATATTTTACTGCATTAAACACTTCATAACAGCTATCAACCCCATCACTATTATTTTCGTAGTTTAACCTCATGATCCTACTTCACTGACATGAGAGTGCACAGCACTTGCGCACGCACGCACGCACGCGCACGCGCGAATATGCAGGACCATTTCATGACGCCCTTTGAAAGGCCCTACGGATAGGCTGTCACAGGAGAATGAGGGCAGCAGATGGCTCCATTACAAAAAGTACTTCTGTACATTTATTTTTCACTGCAGAGAAAGCTATAATTTTAAAAATAGTAAGTGAAAATAGTACATAAGCTAGTGAGAATGAAAGAATTAACATGTGCTTAATGAAAATAATAAATTTCTACAACACAATAAACACTTACACCCCACATTCTTTTGGACCAAATGGCAACTACATATAAATTCAAGTTAAGTATTGGTGTATTAGTGGCAGAAAAAACAAACAAAAACCTTTGATGCATTCACTTAGGAACTGTTAAAAAACTCAAAACCTGGAAGTTAAACAACAGAGCTGGGGGCTAAATAAACAGGGCAGTCAGTGTGGGCCTCTAAGTGACAGCCGTAGGGACAGTCGCTTCCTGGCACCCTCAGCAGGTGTTTCCCTGGAGGCTCACACCTCGAGGGCCCGCAGGATCCCCCACAGCGTCTCCGCGCTCTTCTTCAGGCGGGCCTCCTCCTCGGGGGTCAGCTTCACCTGGACCAGGCCTGTGATCCCGTCCGCGCCCAGGACACAGGGGACACTGAGGGCCACCTCCTCGCGGATGCCGTAGAGACCCTTCACTATGGTGGACACCGGATGCACTCTCCGAAGGTCCCGCAGAAGACTTTCCGCCAGGTCAGCCACGGAAAGGCCGATGGCCCAGGAGGTGTAGCCTTTCATTCTGATGATCTCATAGGCGCTGGAGACCACCTCCTTGTGGATATCTTTCCAGCGCTCGGGGTCCTGGTCGGTCCCTAGCTGCGCGTTCAGGTCCCTCAGCGGGACGCCCGCGACGCTGACGCTACTCCACACCGGGACGCACGAGTCCCCGTGCTCGCCCAGCACCCACCCCTGGCAGCTTCCGGCGTGGATGCCGAGCTTCTGGCCGATCAGATACCGGAAACGGGCGGTGTCCAAATTGCAGCCGCTTCCGATCACGCGGTTCTGGGGAATTCCGCTCAGCTTCCAGGTGACGTAAGTTAAGATATCCACCGGGTTGGAAACGATGATCATCTTGCAGTTCGGACTGTGCGTCATGATGTCAGAAATCATCAGCTTGAAGATGGCCAGGTTGCGCTGGACGAGGTCAAGGCGCGTCTCTCCCTTTTTCTGGCGCACACCCGCCGTGATGATCACCAGGTTGGAGTTGGCCGTGACTTGGTAATCTTTTCTGGAAACGATTTTGGGCATTTTCACGAAAAGACTGCCGTGTTGGAGGTCCATCGTCTCGCCCTTCAGCCTGCCTTCGTTCACATCCACCAGGGCGAGCTCATCACTCAGGCCTCGTATCAGGATGCTGATGGTGCAGGCCATGCCAACCGACCCGGATCCTCCCCTGGACAGTCGCCATCCTAGACACGGGGGTAACAGAGCAAGGACCCCCGAGTGGGACGCCAGCAGGCTGGCGGGGACCCGGCGCCATCCCCGCACTCAGGAAACGCGCTCTCGCAGCGCCCACTCTCCGGCTGGCCCAGCAGACGCCCACAGCCCAGCCCATGGCCATTCACTCACAAGGTGAGGGGAGAGAATGGAGGAATGCGGCAGGCAAGGTTTGAGGCCTGAAGGATGGGCGCTTGTGATCCTGGCCACCTCCTCGGCCTGCTCCTGCGCCTGGGGAGGCTGTGGCCGTTAGACACCCCCTGGGCGTGCTACTGCGCCTGCGGAGGCTGTGGCCGGTAGACACCCCCCGGGCGTGCTACTGCGCCTGCGGAGGCTGTGGCCGGTAGACACCCCCCGGGCGTGCTACTGCGCCTGCGGAGGCTGTGGCCGGTAGACACCCCCCGGGCGTGCTACTGCGCCTGCGGAGGCTGTGGCCGTTAGACACCCCCTCGAGACGGTACTGCGCCTGCGTGAGGCCGTGGCCATTAGACACTCCCTGGGTGTGCTACTGCGCCTGCGGAGGCTGTGGCCGTTAGACACCCCTCGGCGTGGTCCTGTGTCTGCGCGAGGCTGTGGATAGTTGACGCCTCCTCAAGCTGGCTACTGCGGCTACACAAGGCAGGCCCTAGCTTGTAAGACCTCACAATGATTTCTATAAAATACTTCTCCTTGAATTCAAGTTTTACAAACGCCAGTTCTCTTCAATATTTAATGTGTCTAATTGGCCAACTCAGATTTTGTATTTTCAGTATGCATGCCAAGTACAAATGCTTTCCTGAAGTACAGATGAAAACAAGGTTGAATTTTCTGGACTGTGAAGTGCTGGAAGAGGAAGGGCCTGTGCAATGTCTGTCCCCCGCACCATTTCCTTGCATACGCACAAGTGGGGATCCTTTTCCAAGTCACATCAGTTTGAGAACCTTCTGGAAAGGTTTCCATCGTCTTCATGCCAGTCACGACCGTGATCCCCAGCCGTGGGGAAGTCACAGGGAACCAGGGCAAGGGGACCACCATGAGCTGGTCCAAAACTAAAACTCACAGGGAGAGGCTCTTACTCCTTTTCATGCCACAGGACAGTTTGTGATGGAGGGTCCTGATTAACAACTATTTCTCAGGTACAAAGGTATAGCCTCTACTAGAATGAAAATATACCTTAAATGTCCTCAAAGTGGCAAATTTTAACCCATGCACAAAGATCATTGATTAAAGCAGTAAAATAAAATGTGGCTGACCCTTGAACAACGGTTTGAACAGTGCCCGCTATGTGGGTTTTCCTCAGTTGACCCCCTAGTTCACACCTGCGTTGTTCAAGGGTCCACTATATCCGCTAGGACAACAGGGCATCGGCCTGCCTTACCTTCCACTGCATTTCTCTGGTTATTCTCATGAACTTCCTTTCAAGTTTCTCAGGCCATAAAAACTTTACATCTGATGAAATATAAATCCTAATAAACCCAATAAACGACCAAAGTCCAAATAAAAATGGTATTTTCTCCCCAGTTAGTAAGGAGAGAGCAAGGTGCTCTTGGTACATGCAGCCAGCTCCCTCTCGGTCAGAAAAAATTTTTTGTTTTAGAATACCAAATCTTGGCAAAATGAGTATTTTATATTCATTCTTCCTGCCACTGAAATGTAGTCCAAGAAGAGAGGAAAAATAAGCAAAGAAGCTGGTGAGGGGTGGGAACAGCGTGGCAATTAGCAGAGTTCCTGCAAACCTCTTCTAGTGTGACCTCCTGGCACCTGAGCAGGGACCAGAGAGCCTGTTCTAATGGCACCGTCACAATAAGCTGTGGCACAAGAAATGGTAAGAGCACCACATATATGCTTTCTCTCCACACTGTGGTTAGATTTATAGCAACCATTTCTCAAGTTAAAAACTGGAAAATTTTCAACTGATCTTTACTTAATGGTGGCCAGTATTTTAGAGTGATCCTTTTAAAAGACCAACTTTTGATAGCTATTGTTGCTTTTATTCCAGTTATAACTTGAAATGTTTTAACCTAATGCCTGTTCCCACCTTCCTCCTATAATGTTCCTTTGACCAGTCAAGTCTTTTCTAAGATAAGTGTTCTTGAGGATGAAATTCAAGGACATAAAGACTCTTAGCTAGATGGCTTCTTTCTGTAGTAATTTTCTTTGTCGAATGTGAACCTCTTTGGAAATACAATCTCTATGAGAGGTGCCTCTTCAGTTTTCCCCCTTAACCATAACTAAATCAATGTTGAGAGAATGTAACGCTCTCCAAGATAAAAAATCCCTCAAACAAAGCAGTTTTTTATGTACAGTAAGTCTTGAGATAAGAAGGAAAGAACTACGGAAGATGAAGAAATGGACATGACCTCCACAGCAGATTTAGGTCTACTCAAAGTCGGGGGAAGCCAAATATAACCAGGCAAGCTCCCTACCCTAATGACCTTCCGTGTTAGGTGACTCATTATTCCTTTTGAATGGAAAACCTAACTCAAAGGATCTATTCAAAATGCAGCACAATATTCCAGCTGATGGGAGGACTAAACCACAGTACTTTTGGTTACACCAGTTAGGAGGAATGAAGCCGGAAATAAAGATGACTCCCAAGTCTCTGGACCAAGAATGACTACAACTAAGTCATTCTACTCCTTCCACCTTGACACCCCCATCTCCCCTGCTCTTTTTCTATCGAGGAGTCCCGTTCAAATACAGATACTCCTCGACTTACGATGGGGTTATGTCCTGATAAATATATGTTGAAAATATAAGTGGACAATAGCCCACCAAAAACGTGCTGGAACACATACATTAGTTCCAGCTGGGCAAAGTCATCTCACTGCCACTGTTCAGCATCACAAGAGAGTATTGTACTGTATAGCCATAGCCCAGGAAAAGGATAAAAATTCAAAATTTGAAGTACCATTTCTACTGAATGCATTATCACTTTAGCATTGCCATAAAGTCGAACTATCCTAATTTGCAGATTATCTATACTCCATCTTCTCCTAGCTCTTCTACAATGTCCAAGCAGAATTGACTCTTTAAAATCCTGTACCAAATAAATAAGATTCTGTACCACCAAAGCACTTTGTACCTCTCTCCATGATAGGATTTATCACACACAATTAAGTGTAATCCAAAAGGGACCACCTTTTATGTACCAGCATATCTGTCCTCTAGAACAGAGCTTGGTCCATGCAGAGGCGCGCAGTAACACTGTGGTAGGGAAGAATAAGTGAATAACTACAAAACTTAGTGACGTGAGGCCAGAGATGAAATGGTGAGAGATGGAAAGGCACTGAAGAAAGGAGTAGGTTAAACATGCAGGTGTCTGGGGTTACTTAGCAAGGTTGAGGCGTAAATTTCGAATGAAGCTATTGATGAGCTAAAGATTTCTTAACTATTCTCAAAGCCGACACCTACCTTTACCAAGTTTGAACATACAAAAAATTAGGAGATTAAGAGAAAAAAATGTCTACAGTGCTAGGAACAAGTAAGTGCAACGACAGAATATTTTTAACCTTTAAAGTTATTTAAAATGTTTTGTTTAGGAAAACTTAAAAAAAAAATCTATGCACAAAACTCAATTTGCAAAAAAAAAAAAGTACTGAGAGCAGTGTTAATTAATATTACAAGCTGATCTAAAATAGCCTATAAACTCACCGGCATGTAAGTAGGGCATTATGTAAACAATTATTGTAAAATTCTTTGTGATTTGAAAGTCATAAAATGTAAATTGTAGTTTTCAAACAAATTAAGGGCTGTAATCCTATTGCTCATAGATACTACGTAGGGATCTTTACTAATCCCAGTACTTGAAACTATTTTCCTTGGTAGCCGTACTGAGAATGCTGGGAAAGGACAAAAGCAGGGCTACAAACAGAATGAAAGTAAACTGTCAAATCAAAAAGCACCACTGGGGTGGATGTCCTGTTTATGGTATTCAAATAGTATAACATGAATAGGCAAGCTCTAATAATTTCCCAAATCTCGTTTTTCTTCTTTAAAGGTATCATCGCACACATAAATGTTTGATGCAGTGCAAAAGAGCCCCTTGTATTAATCATAAAAAAGGAGGAAAAGGAAGTATTTTAATGTGTCACAAAACATGAAAAATTAAAATTCATCAGTATGTGTGTAAACATCCCAAATCGTAACTAAAAAGTGAGAAACTTTACCTATAGGGTTTAACTGCATAGGTATTCTATTACCCCATTTACTTTCTGCCAGTGGATTGAGTAATAGAAGTAGTACTGTAGTCCTCAGTAACAACAGCTTTATTCATCTAGAACAGAGGTCCTCAAACTTTTTAAACGGGGGGCCAGTTCACTGTCCCTCAGACATTCCACACATGCGCACTGCGGGCCCGGGACGAGTCGGCTGCTAAGCAGGACAGGCAGCGGCGGCAAAAACACCCGGCGGGCCGGATGAATGTTTTCGGCGGGCCACAGTTTGAGGACCCCTGATCTAGAACAACTGACATGAAGAATATCTTTGTTACTTTCAATTTGAGGTAGAAACTGAAGATACCTTTATGAAGTCCCAAATGCCAAACCGGATTAACTCCATGTTGTAAAGGTTAAAGATTAACCTGCCGCGAGCCTGTCTCGGGAGGCGAAGAACAGCCGGCAGCAGGGGAGGAGGGCGCTCCGGGTGGGGATGAGCAACACAAAGCTCAG